ACCACCTGATTCATTCGTCCATTTGTGCTCAATATATTGCATAAGTTTTTGTGTGTATGTACATCGTTCGTATGTAATCAACTGTTATACGCCATACGTGCGCATAACTGTGTGAAAGTATATGCATGTTTTATTTTTATTATTTTTTGTTATAAGGGGTTCCCCCCCAAGAAACTACCTTTGACAGATAATCATTCTAAAGAAGTTAATGATCTTTTATTGTCAATTTATAATAAACTATGCATCTTTAAACAATTATTTGTTGCAACCTAGACTCGCTTTTCAATCAAGGTTTTTTCGATTTTGATCCAAGAGTTAGTTGCCGAATACCAATTATACCAGAGGAATTATGTTAATGAAGGTTAGGTGGAGTCAATTACGAAAAAAGTTTGACTGAAAAGTAGACCCATGTAGATGATCGCAACAAAAGAATATTTTAAATCAGAAGTAAAAATATATTTTACATGGAATGATCTTATTTTAAATTGAAAATCAAAAATTTGTATATAGTTTATATATAAATTGAAAATTAAAAATATTTTATACGGAAAGATCCTATTTTAAAGGTGGGTCATATAAAAACCCTTGTTGTAAACAGTGAATTTATTACTTAATGTTAGCATTGAAGGGCTAGCGTTCTTTTTTCCGCGGACTATTTATATGCTTTAATCACATTAATTGTTGAAAATCTGAATTCCAAGGTCCTCTTCATTGTCAATGCCTAATCTCAATATCTTTGTCTCTCTTAATTAATCATCATGATAAATATCTATGCTCAAATGTATGAGTCAGGAATTAAAACAATTGTAGAAATAGTGCTACTTAAAAATTCAATTCTTTTGTGAATATTTGTTTTCAAATAATCAACCATTAATAAAACTATAGTCACTACTCTGATAGCTTTTAGTTATCTTTCAATACTATTTGGTCAAAAAAAAAAAAAAAAAAAAATTCATTGACCACATTACCACTTAATTTATTATCAAAAAAAATGTATTTCTTGTTATGATTGTATTTCTTGTTTCTCAAATCAAAAGAACTGCACACTGACGTTTAAAAAAACGGATTAGTTAAAAGTTAAAAATCATCTTATCGAATTTATTTACCAATTAATTATCTAAAGTCATTTAAAACTTAAATATACGAAAAATAATCCTGATGCAAAAGCAAATGCCGTTGTGGAGACTACCATCACTTCCATCGCCGTTGGCACTTCCATACCAAGTAGCTCCAGCAGAGGGCCAGGACTCCGTCGGAGAAGCTGAAGATGATAAATTCAATAGCTTGGGATTGAAACAAGCAACGGGCTCGAAAACGAGAGAGCGAAAAGCTAGCAGAGCTGAAAGTTTCAGGAGTGAGAACCCATAATTAGCCATTTTGATGAACAAAAAGAGCTAAGGATCACTAGAAGCACTGAGAACTGAAGAAGAAGAAGAAGAGGCTATGAGATTTGTAACCTTTAACAGGGTTAATTTATAGACAAACACGAGACATGTATGTGACGTCACGGTTGCTCTCTATACGAGTGCCATGCGCAGATGACCGCATAGGAATTCTGAAGACGGTTGAAAACTTGTCAGTTGAGGTGGGGCCCACTAACCGAACCGGGCACGAGTTTTGAGACAGCAAATCAATTTCAACCGCCGTGATTTCGGTGGTTTTTCTCCTTTTTTTCCTGCCATTATATTGACATTAACACGAAGTTTTACGGTTATTTATTATCAAATTCATCCATTTCCAAAGTCATTCTTAACCCAGAATATCATATTCACTTTTGGCTAAATAACACGTGAATATCACATTGTCACTCATATTCATTTGAGTGCTGCTACGGGGACCCAAAATATGGGACCAAGGGAGGGGACAGATGAGGTGTCCCCTCCCTATTGCATAATGAGTTGGACACCTCACATGTCCCCTCCCTTGGTCCCATATTTTGGGTCCTTAAATCATTTTCCTATTCATTTATATACCCTCATTTGCTTTTCAAAGTATTTATATATCATAACTTGTTTAAGATTGATATGTTAGAGCCCTCACAGTTAAAAAAAACTTCCAAATATCTCATGGGATATTTAAATGCTAATTTTTTATTTCTTAATTTTTGTTGAATTCACTGTTAAACATATTTAAATTCTATTTTGTAATGGATATTTATAGGTTTAAAAATTTTGTATGTTATGTTGCTACATTTTAGTACAAACAGTAAGTGGCTATATTTTTTATAAGTATCATATACAAAACTGATGAAAACATTATTCAAATTTATACTTTAGGTTTAACATTGATTAAATTTTTCACTGACCAAAAAAAGATACTGTGGAGTAAGTGGCTACATTTTTTATAAGTATCATATACACTTGAGAGGTTGTGATTGTTTTACAGTGTAAACACCAAAGAGATGGTGTTTTGATGTACTTCATATTTCACATATTGGGAAATGAATTAAATTTTTTTATTGACAAAAAAAGATACTGTGTAGTAAGTGGCTATATTTTTTATAAGTATCATATACAAAACTGATGAAACATAATTCAAATTTATACTTTAGGTATAACAATGATTCAATTTTATACTCTAGGTTTAAGGATGATTTACGAGAGGGTGAGCTTAAAAACTAAAAACTTAATAGCATCTAAATACCATATAGTTTCAACTATGTTGTACTTATATAACCCGACCTGTTTTTCACAATAATTATAAAACCTAAAATTTTTAAAATTTTCACTTATATATCTTCACTTATTTCTTGTGGCAGTTATATATTCTAAAGTTTTTAAAACTTACTTATATTTCCTCGCTTGTTTATGACAACACTTATACATTCTTAACCTAGAATATCATATTCACTTTTGGCTAAATAACACGTGAATATCACAATGTCACTCATATTCATTTATATACCCTCATTTGCTTTTCAAAGTATTTATATATCATAACTTGTTTAAGATTGATACGTTAGAGCCTTCTATTACAGTTTAAAAAAAAACTTCTAAATATCTCATGCGATATTCAAATGCTAATTTTTTATTTCTTAATTTTTGTTGAATTCACTGTTAAATATATTTAAATTCTATTTTGTAATGGATATTTATAGGTTTAAAAATTTTGTATGTTATGTTGCTACATTTTAGTACAAACGAGATACTGTGAAGTAAGTGGCTATATTTTTTATAAGTATCATATACAAAACTGATGAAACATAATTCAAATTTATACTTTAGGTTTAACAATGATTCAATTTTATACTCTAAATTTAAGGATGATTTACGAGAAGGCGAGCTTAAAAACTAAAAACTTAATATCATCTAAATACCATATAGTTGTAGATTTGGCGAAGAAATTGGAGAAAAACAGGATTTTTGGAGCTGACAGACATTTGGGTGCTCTCCGATTGACCGTGAGCTTTGGCTGTTAGACCCTAGAGGGGGGGGGGGGGGGGTTAGGGTCTTATGCTAATCTAATCCGATTATATGCCAATTAAAATTAATTAACAAGTTATCCTAGCAAGTATGAAATACCACAAGATATATGAGCTAGGATAATCAATATAAACAATGAGATATATCCTAATAATGAGATATAGGCAATGTGATATATGTAAGGATATGAAAACACAAGGGTAACATAAACAAATGAAATAGTGGATGAAATAAACAATGAGAGAAAGGCTATAAAGATGAACAAATATAAGTGCTAAGCCAAACTCAAACAAGCAATATGATCACGGAGTTCGGACCTTCCGTCCTACGTCTCCGCTCCCCACTCCCGGGGAGAAATCCACTATCACAACCGGGTTTTCTATGTTCACCCGAATAACGTTTACAATCACACTATGTCGGTTTTCAACGATCACCGATCAACGTCCAATCCTCACACTCGGTTTTCTAGTTCACCGAAAACTTCACAACAACACACTATTATAATCTCACTCTACACCCACTAAGTGTTGAACTAGATGTGTCTCCCTCAAGTGCTCGGTTACAACCTCTCCCTAGGTTCGTCAACCAACATCACTCCTCTTGGGACGATCCCCGACTCTCGCCATACACTTCTCTCGGTGTACAAGTGTATTACAAAGTGTATCTCACAATTAGGCTCAATTACAATAATTGATTGTTCTCAACTATGGATGAGAACACAATGAAAGCTCACACTCAATGTTACAACTCTCACCAACCCAACTATATTATGAATGCAAATACAATAAGCTCAAGTGGGTGTGTGTAACAATGAGATTCAATAAAAACTTAACTCAATAAGAACTAGCAATAAGATTGATATAAAATACAATAGTAGAAATGCTAGGAAATAGAGTTAAGGAAACTTCTCTATAAACACAAAGAGAGGATGATGAAATGTTGAAGATGAACTCTTCAATAGTTGATGTAAACTCCTCTTTGTAACAGCAAACCCAAAACAAACTTAAACCAAAACTAAACAAGCTTAAACCCTTGTTTAAAACCTTGTTTAAAAACTTCTTTTCTATCTTGAAAGAGAACAGCAATAGGGTATTTATACCCACTCAAAATCTCGGTCAAAAACCCCCAAGCAAAAGACAAAAACAGCCCCAGCCAACGGTAACAAAAATAGCCGTTGGAAGGAATCTGACTGAGCGGCGGGCGACCAAAAATTCGCGGTCGACCGCGATCCAGATCCCAATCTGAGAAAACGAGCAGAGACTTATTCGGTCGACCAGTGCGGTCGACCGATGGAAATATGTTAAAAATAACAAATGAAGTCCAAAAATAATGAAACTTTGGAAAATGTATATAAGTATGTAAATGAACATGTTATAAAAAGAATTTTCCAAATTGCATTTCCCATTTGTGAAAAATTATTATTTTGCAAAATAGTTCAAAACATGAAAAATGTAAACATGTGAATTTTGACATTTAGGCTAAACCATATTTTAAAACTTTGCACAATGATTATGTGGACTTAATAACATATGTATATGATTATTGTTAAGTCCAAAAACTAAGAATACAGAATTTTTACAAAATTGTATATTCTATGCAATGTTTTCAAAAAACACAATAGTAAATATAAAATATGTGATTTCATATCTATAAACATGAAAACACAAAACCATGCATGTATATAAATATATATAACTATATATATGCATAGAAACCAAAACTTATGTATATATTACTTAACACACATAATATAAAACCTATACTAAGTTACCCAAGCTAGATCTTGATCTTCAATAAGATCGATTTGGTACACTTGCGGATGAAGCTGAACTTGGATCTTGAACTAGAATTGCATAAGCTTCACTGACATTCCGCCAACCTCCTTTGGATATGATCGTTGAAGCTCTATTCCATCCATCTTTCAACTCATTGTTTGTCTACAATAAATAACAAAATACAAACACTAGACAAACAATATTAGAAGTAAATTGTTTGTTAAACATCATCAAAACAAGAAGGCCAACATTGGCACGGTCGACCGGCAACGTGCACGACTTGGTACAGATTCTGGATCTTTGGCTGGTCGACCGCGACGATTTCGGCGTGTAATGCTTTTCTGGATTCTGTCGTTCTGTCTGGTTGACCGCAAGCTTTGGCGGGGTCGATCGTGAGTCTAGTTCGGGTTCATTTTGGTTTCCTGTTCTGTTTAGGATTTGTGTTTGGTATAAATACCAACACATGTTTTAGAGTTTCTTTAGGCTTTGATTAGCCTTGTTGTGGGGATATTTGGAGCATAGAAAAGAGGTATTTTCTGAGCTATTGGTTAGGGTTTTGTTTGGATATAATTAGAGATTTGTTGGTGAGATTAATTGGTGAGTTCGAGTGATTTGTAATCTCAGTTTGTACTCTTCTGAGATTAATTGGTGAGTTCGAGTGATTTGTAATCTCAGTTTGTACTCTTCTTCTCTATTAGTGAAAACCCCATCCCCTTCTTTGTAATCTCAGTTTGTACTCTTCTTCTCTATTAGTGAAAACCCCATCCCCTTCTTACCCCGTGGACGTAGGCAACTTATCGAACCATGTTAAAATTAGTTGTTTGTGTTTGTAACATTACTTTGGTTTGTTTGACCTTCTCTCGACGTTGGTTTGGTTCATCGAAGCATATCGTCGGTTTTAGCTTCCGCGCGTGCAACAATTGGTATCAGAGCTTGGGTTACGCTTGGGCTAATTGGAGGAGTAGATTGATTTAGAAGTTCGTCTAAGGCTTCGGTTGGTGATAAATGTGAGATCTTTTGGAGGCCCGTATTAGGGTTTCAGTTGGAGGTAAAAATCTCTCTTTTTTAGTTTGGATCTATTCTTCGTTTGTTCCGTATTGTTTTATTAGTGCTTTGAAAAAGATGGTGGAGAAACAAGGAGTTGTGGAGGATATTTCCGGCATGAAGACCGTTCAAAATTTGAATATCCACTCTATAAAGATAGATGTGAAGAAATTTAATGACATAAATAA